CTTAGAATCATTTGTTCCTGCTTATAAGTTTTGTTTTAGCAAACCAAATAGAGGATATGTAATAAATAATTTAAAAACGGTTTAAATGTTAGTAACTGTCTCTTACTTTTCAAAGCTATTTGATATTAATTACAAATCAAATTTACTACTAGTGACTTGAGGCATATTAAGATTTCATCTACAGATTATTATTTTTTATAATAGCAAAACTGAAATTAATGTTTGAACATCAGGGTTTGTAAAGGTCAGCTGCTTCTCCAGCATCCTCCTGCTGACAGTGGCCCTCTCCACCCCTGCCGCTTCTCCTCTCAGAGGAGTCAGGCAGAAGTCCTGCTGTCCAGAAAAACACCGTGTCCCTCTGAGCAGGTCACACAGAGCTGCAGGGAGGTCCACCTCTGCTGTAATCTGGACACTGGAGGGAGGGAGCCTGGAGGGATCTGCTGTCACAGCCCCTGTGCCCTGAGCACAGAAAGGTCCAGATCAGAGATCCTAAGAGCCCCCACCCCTCTCCTTTGCAATAGCTGTGAATAAGCCCTTGTATTTCCACCAAAAGAAAATTTCTGCCACTTTTTGTGGGACAAAGGGCAGTACAGACCTGCAACTCTGTTAATAGTATCTTCTCCCAACTTGATCAGCCAAAATCTAATTTATTTTAAAAATACATTTTCAAATTATGTACATGTGCTGAAGGCTTTGATTCTACCTACTCTATATTTAGTTTCACAAAACTTAATATTACTTAAGGTAAGGCCTACATGATACATGTATGCCAATTTTCCTGGCAAAATTTCCATTTCATTTTATATACTCTAATCACTTGTAATTTGAGGAATGATACTTAATGTGAGGCAAAGTTGCTGTAAACAAATTTTTTCCAGTGTTATCTCTGTAGAATCTTGTCAACCTCAAATTGTTCTCAGAAATAACATACTAAAACCAAATAAGTAGCTGAAAATTTCTAATAGATTTGTTTCTTGATGTAATTTATTTTTATGCTTTTGTGCATTAATTTTTCTGTTCTGAGGTAAATTATATTCAGTTCAGCTCTTGATGAAATGCAAACTCTAGGAGGAGGTTTTATCCAGAAAGAATCTGAGGGCAGAAGTGTATATGTGAACATAACAGTGTGCACCTTCCCTCCCTTCTAATAACTCCAGGTGCTCACACATTGGGCTCTCAGTGTAATGTGTCATTGGTCATCTTCAAGGCATAATTTCCATGGAAGGTTGCTTGGCCAGATTCCGAGGACAAAATTTCAAGTCCTAAATTCACAAAAGATTCCTTTCTCCCTTGAAAGACCCATAAACAATTCATCTCTTTTTGTAATCCTTGAATATGTTGCTAAAGTTCATTTTTTCCTTTTCAAGGTGACAAATAATGTATAGATTTACAGACAATCACATTTGCATTGAAGCGATCAGTCAGGAATTTTTGACTAAGTTGCTGGAGAAGATATTTCTAGAGATGTATTTATGAATAGCAGTATAACGACTACAATATGAAAATCTCACCAGGAAATATTATATACTTAAAAGTATTACTTCACCATAGAAGTAAGTGATTGTTATTTTTTAAAAAATAGAAAACAATGAAATTCAAAGAAAAACATGAAACAATTCAATATTCCTTCATGTTTTGGTTACACAATAATTTCTCCAAAGTATTTGCCTTTGTGCCTGTAAAGCTTATTTGGATGCATAATTCTAGATTTACCTAATTATCATAATTCTGTGTCTTCAATGTCATCCTAATTAAATTGCTGAAATATCAGAATATCCCATGACTATGGGAGGCTGACATCTTATTAACCGACACATTCATGTGTTAGATATTCTACGGTGTCCCGTTCCTCACTGAGTGAACTGTTTCCAGTTGATAAATGGACATTTTAAGGCATCAGTGAAATTGGTCAGAATCTCCATCTGGGTTGTCTGTGTCACCTGGTCCCTCTATTAGTCCATGCTGTGCAATGTGGGTTACTGTTTTGTTTTGGCTTTTTTTTGTAAAATGAGAGTGAACAGAAAGAGTCAATCAGCCCTGAATCTAACATAAAATTTTGCAATGAACTCAGTAGACAAACACTTTTTTATGGAATCAGGTCAAATGACTTACAAGGAAAAGAAGAAAGGATGACATAATAGTGAAGCTGAAATGTTTCATTCAGCATTATTTATCTGAAAAGAGGAAACAAAGAGTGAATAAAATAAGGCAGAGTTTGAATCTGAGAAAAATTGTGAATTTTGCAATAATTCATGAACAAATACATATTAGAATCTCCTAGGAAAAGGTGCTCATGTTTGGAAGTATGTGGTGATGGATAAAGCTGTATTTCTGTCAAGCATTATATTGCCAATGGACTTGTTTAGACAAAACTCTATTCATTGTTATTTTAGATTCTACTGAGACAGGTCAGTTTAGAAATTAAAAGTCAGTATTGCACTATGTGCCTACCACATAATGGTGTGATTTAATCCAAATGAAAGACTTAGGTTGAATTTCTATGCCAATATCACCTCAGTAGGCATGAAATTGAAAGATGGCATGAGATAGGTTTTCTTATGCAAGATTTTCTATCACTGAAACACATTTGGGCCATGTGTTGAGCTACCTATGATGGCAGAGAAATGGTTGTAATAACTGTTTCACAATAGCAACCAAAGTGAAGCCAGGGATGTATAATCCCTTTCACTTGAAACCATGATATATTTTAGCTACTTAGCCATCACATTTCTTTTCAGATTTTGTTTTCTTAGTAGAAAATATGGACATAGATCTTTTACAAATGGGAAAGAGTCATCATCTTTTAAGTCATCCCTTTTTAAAATTCTTTTTTGCACTTTCCCTTCCTACACTGTCTCCTGGATTATTCTTACTATATATTTTTTTCTCACTCATCTTTGGTTCATTAAATACTTGAATATTCTTTTCTTTATTTGTAAATGCCATAACAGTTACACAAGTTTATGTAGTAAAGTTTTTGATTCATGCATATGAGTAGTAATCTATTGAGATTAATTACTTTGTGCAACAACTTACACCTTTGTGATGTCTTCATGGTGAATACATTGGTTATCTTCAGTCTTTGACAGGTGCTATTTTAAAAGTTATAATAGAGCCAGGGATTTAACTCAGCAGTACCTCACCTGTCTTGAAAGCATAAGGTCTTAACTTCAATCCCTGGTACCAATAAATAAATAAATAAATAAAAGTAAAAATAAAAAGTTATAATATTTTGATTGCTCTATTTTATTATTTTGTTTCTACAACTTTATTCAGTTTAATTCACTTTTCTCCCTCACATTTAACAGTAGTAGCTACTTATCTTAATTTTTCTCTGTTCAATCACACTGAAAAATAATATTTGCATTTGTCTTATGAGTGTCACTTTATATTTCACTTGTATATATTGTTTTGGATTATTACTATTCATGTATATTTTATAGGTAATTTTTGTCTAACAATGTTATAAAATCATGTTCTATTTTTAAAATATTGGTTAACAGCTGTTTTATGTTTAAAATATTAATTTTATATTTATATTTATTATTAACTTATTCAATGAAGCATATTAAAAATTCATTCTCAATTCTTTTTTTGCCAAATTATTCCCATTAAAATTTAGTGTTGGGCTGGAGATTTAACTCAGTGGTTCTGATGCCTGCCTCACAAGCACAAGGTCCCAAGTTAGATTCCCAGTGCCAAAAATAAATTAGTGTATATGATGCTTAAAATGACTTAAGCAATTAATTTTTACATAATATTATCAATCTAAAGACATGTGGTGAAAGGCAAAGAAACAGGAGCATTAGTATTTTTTGTGTGTCACATAAAGTTATAGTTTTAGCTTGATTAGCAAACGTGGAGCTAAAAGATATTACCACATGCAGATTTTCCCCTTGGTGAATTCACAGTCTGTTACTTTCAAAGCAAAGCACAATGACAGTATTAATTCTGCTGATATACTGAGAATATATCCATCTCTTTTTTTCAGTTACAAAGAAATTATTAGATTATAAACTTTGAAATGAATAAATAAAGCAGCAAAGATCACACAGGAAAAGTCAGAACCCATATTAAATAATGTATACGAAGCAGTTATCTAGAGGAGTATGCACAGCACTTTCAATAATTGCTATAGAGTATCTCTGCTTTAAAAGTTTTCATTCTTTTGGAAATGGTCTACAACATTAACATGTATAACTTTCTTATAATTAAGTAAATTTTCAACATTTTTTTTAAAAATTCTGAATAGAAAATTGAGAACTAATGGCTCCTGCTTTTTTTTCTAGCTATTTTTGTGTTGGTCAATGAAATTAACCAATTTGTAAAATATGAATACATATTCTTCAAAAAATTATTAATCACTGAAATATTGTTAGAATACTAGTCTTCTGAAGATAATTCCAGCATTTTTATTATTGTCCCAAAAGTTTTATATCTATCTTCTGATGAAGTGGATGTGTAATTATTATGTATCTTGTGCAGGTGGATGGAATGAGCCATAACATTTCAGTTAATTAATGAGGGTTATAAAGAAAAGGTGGCACACCCAGGATCTGAATGTCAGAATGTTTGTTTTGAAAGTGGTAGCTCCTAACTAATCTGCTTTTATTCACTGTGCTATCAACATAAGTAATTATTGGAAAAATAGAGTTGTTTTATTATAAAATTTTCTAAAGATAGAGTTAGGAAAGGCATTGTATGATATTAAAAGGATAATAAAAAGTTTTTTAAATGACAATCAAATTTTCTTATTTTGTACATTAGCAGCTCTTAACATTACAGGAAATTCCATAATAAACTTGACACAGACTTCATTATTTCCACTTAAAAATGAATTTATAAAATAAGGCTCATTAAAATGTCAATGATGTGTTAAATAAAACTTAAGTATAACAGCTTTAGCAAAAAAGAAGAGAGTGATTAAATTGGTTCAAAAGAGATACCAATTTCTAAAGAAAAAGAGAAAAGACAAGTATACATATTTAGCATCACTGTTATTATAATCCCTCTCTCTTTTGCATAATTCTAACAACAGCATTCTTCACCTCTGTGTTTCTGAGACTGTAAATGAGAGGGTTCAGCATGGGGATCACAATGGTGTAAAACACAGAAACTACCTGATCCCTTCCCAAGGAGTAGGACGTCTTTGGTTTTAAATGAGTAAAGATTAGAGTGCCATAAAAAATGGTGACTCCCAGGACATGGGAGGCACAGGTGGAGAAGGCTTTTTTCTTTCCAGCAGTGGAATTAATTTTCAGGATAGTGAAAAGAATGCACACATAAGATCCAGATATGGTGAGGAGGGACAGCACTAAATTGGACCCACCACAAATGAATATAATGAGTTCAACCTCAAATGTGTCACTGCAAGATAGGGCTAAAATTGGGGATGTGTCACAGAAAAAGTGCTGGATGACATTGTACTTGCAGAAGTGCAGTCGGTTCATGAAAATTGCATTGACAGTGGAATCCACAAAGCCAATAACATAGGAGGCAGTGAGCAGAATATGGCACAGTCCTGTGGACATAATGACTGGATAGTGCAGGGGGCTGCAGATAGCTACATAGCGATCATAGGCCATTGAGGAGAGAAGGAAACATTCAGCAGCACCAAAGACTATAAAAAAGTACATCTGGGTGAAGCAGCCCAGGGAGGAGATGCTCTTGGTGGAAGTCAGTAAGTTGTGTAAGGTTTTAGGGGTGATGACACTTGAGTAGCTGAGGTCAAGAAATGACAGCTGAGTGAGAAAGAAGTACATAGGGGTGTGAAGCTGCGGATCCAGGTGAATGATCAGTATCATGCCCATATTCCCCAGCACCGTGATCAGGTAAATCAGGAGAAAGAGCATGGAGAGGACCAGCTGTGTCTCTGCAGAGTCTGTCAGCCCCATGAGGATGAAGCCATGCACATTGGTGGAGTTCCTTCTACACATAGTGTTCCTTTGCTATTAACTGGTAAATAATTACAGTTAATACTTAGCCTAAGATATTCTTAGTGTAAAATGAATTTTCAAGCATTGGGATTTTTTTAATGATAGGCTGCTTCTCCAAATTTCTCCCACTCAGACCTCAAATATCCAACACTCCTGACCTCAGCTCAGAAGAGCAGACAAAGAAGGGATGTTGTGTCAGAAAATTATCAGATCCCTTTGAAATTCATGTGCAGATTGAGGCATCAGGAAGCCAAGGTCTGGATTAATTTAGAAAAGAGAGAAATTGACATGTGAGTGACCTGGATATAAAACCCCTGGGAGCCCTGGCATGGGGAGGTACAGATTTGAGGCATAACAGGGCCCATTACATACTTTAGAGCTAACTATTCAGAAATACTTTTCATTCAAGAAAAATAAACATTCTCGCACTTTTGCGATGGTTGGGAGTGGGAGTGAGGACAGTATTGGTGTCTGTCTCCTACCAGCTTTTCCTAACTTGACTGTTAAAAATGACGTTTCTGTGTTTTGATTGTGGTCCAAAGCTTTGAAGCATCTCCCTTCTTCAGTGAACCTCTCACCATTCAAACATGACAGATTTGAAAAAATACTCAATTATTTCTGTATGAATCCTTCCCCCCGCCCCCACTATTGTTTTGGGGTGTTTTTTTTTAACACCAGACTTTTTTTCTTTTTCTTTTTCCTTTTTTTTTTTTTTTTTTTTGGTACGGGGATCAAACTCAGGACCTTGTGCTTGTGAGGCAGGCACTGGAACCACTGAGCTAAATCCCTGGCCCTAAACCAGACTTTTAAAAAATGGCTTTTAGCTGATGTTCATGAAGAGAGTGAGTACTTATAAATTATGCTGCTAATGTAAGGAAATCTTATCTAAGAAAGTGCATTTTCTTACAGAGCTCTATTATACCATCCTATGGACCTTCTGCTGGAAAAGTAGTATCAAATGTAAAACAATACCTTTTTAATTGTATCTTCTAGTATTGTAGATATAGGATAGTACTGTATCATACCTCTATAAATATATAATATCTTATATCTGCTTTATGACACATAGTAGTGACTGTGCTTTGTCAGAGCTGTTTTAAATAAGTTACTCTAGAACATTTTTTTTCCAGATGATGATTCAGAAATTAATAAAAACAAAAAAAGTGCCAGGTACCACAATAGTAACAGAACTTTGCTTTTTTTTTAGGGGTTCAGTTTTTATTTTTTTAATGGAGTGTGCCAGATATCTGTATAATTTTGATCATATGAGTACAGAACCTGGAAAAGCTGTTATGCTATTGATGCAGAACATACTGTTATTGAGATATATATAGACAGAGTCTGCCAAAAAATGTATAGACACTTCAGCAGTTCACTGTACTAATAAATATCTGAAGATCATGGTCACCACTTTGAGCACCTTTTGTAATTGTAGAGGCCAAAGGTAACTTGTATTAATCTCATGATGTCTCAATAAATTTTGTATTAAAATATTTCATACAAATTTTTCTTTTCCTGAAATGTGTATACATTTTTGGCTTGCTCTCTCTTTCTCCATATATGTGTGTGTGTGTGTGTGTGTGTGTGTGTGTGTGTGTGTAATATAAATATGATTTTTGGAAACTTGAGCTGTGCTGTCAGCTTTGGAAATAGTATCCAAGTTTATGGGGTTGCTGGCATTGTGCAGAAATTAACAGCCATGTTGTCTAAAAACAACATTTTTCCATTTGGGCAGGGATGTAATGCACTATATTAAATATGTATCTATGTCGGTTTGAATACAGGAGCTAATAAAATATTGTCTAAATAATGAAAAAAACCCTAAGCAGTGCCTTTAGCTCCAGCTACTTGGAAGACTGAGGAGGAAGATCACTTAAGCCCCAGAGTGAGACCCTGTCTCAAAAAAAGAAAAAACACCCCCAAAACCAGAAAAATCTAATCAGTTAACATTATAATGTTGATAGTAGTAAATGATAAACTTTATTCATATTTTACCAGTAACCTCAGCACTCTGGGACACTGAGTCTATCACAAGTTCAAGCCCAGCCTAAGCAGCTTACCAACTTAGTGAGACCCTATCTCAAAATAAATTTTAAAAGGCTGAGAATTGTAGTTCAGTGCAAAAGGTCCTGGGTTCACTTCCCAGTACTGAAAATCAAACAACAAAAAAGTGCCAAGGTGAAAGGATTCTTGGGAGATTAAATAATCCATGGAAAATAGTAAGTGACAGGAAAAGTTGTACTATATTCTAGTTAGGGAATACAACAGAAAATAGCAAAAGCATTATTGTTTGGACATGAGGCTTCATAGGTAAGCAAGAGTTCTGCTATTCTTGGAAAGGGGCTTGAATTTTATTCTAAGAATTAAAAAATTACCAGAAAAATGTAAGGGACATATTCTTAAACATCAGTCTGCATCTACATTAGTGATAGGTTCAAAATAATGATGTCAGGGTTTTTCTCTTTAATTCTAATTCATCTAGCCTCTAACGAAGTCAAGACATCAGATTTATAATAAACTTGTCAAAGATTCTGACCCACACTCTAAAAAAATGACATTTCTTCCAAATATTACATTTTCAAAATATGTATGTTGCCTGCAGATTTTAAAACCACAAACTGTATATTCTTGCTTCACAGATCTTACCATTACATACAGTAAGGCCTAAATAATATGGGAATAGATGTTTTTCTCATTAAACACCCATTTTAATTTATAGGATCTCATCCACTCCAGTGTGGAGAATGATACTTACTGTGACAAAAAGTTGCTGAAAACTAAAATTTCTTCCAAGATTATCTGAGTAGAAACTGTTCAAGCTCAAATTACTCTGAAAAATAAAATATGAAATCCACAAAGAAACTGAAAATTTCTCTTATATATTTGTATTTCTTGATATAATTATTGTTATGTTTAGTGCATTCATTTTTTAAATGAGATAAATTATATCATCGTAGAACATTTTTTTCATGGTCTGGTCACAGGGAAACTTCACCAGGAAGTTTTATCTGAAAAGAATGGAGGAAGGAACAGTGAATATACCACGAATAGTGTACACCTTCCCTCCCACTTGGTGACCTGAGGGCACCTCATTTAATGGGCATTCAGAACACTGGATCATTTGGTCATCCTCAGGGCACAATTTCTGAGGAAGGATTACTTGGCCTGGTTCCAAGGATAAAAGTTCAAGCACTAAGTAAACAAAGACTTCATCTATTCCATCAGAAGCCACATGCTGAAAGCCAAAGATCACTTCATGTCCTCTTGTGATACTCTAAACAGTGGCTGAACTTCATTTATTGACTTCTTAAAATGGCACACAATTAAATGGATTTACAAAGAATAATGTTTACATTCAAGTGATCAATCAGAAAGTTTTTGGATTAGGGTAATGGAGAGGACATTTTCTGAGACATATTTACCTAATGACAGACTCTACAGCATGGAACAATACAATTCTCACCAGAAAACATTTTGTACTTAGAAGTATGGAATGATGCTAGAAATAAGGCATATTCATTAGAAAAAAATAGAAAACGGAAAATTCATTGACAATAACGGAGGAATGCAAGACTTGTTAACCCTTTCTTTGCATACAAGTAATTTTCCCCATTATTTTCCTTTGTGCCCATAAAGCTTACTTGGATTTGTACATACAGCTCTATAGAACTATTTCATTCAGTCTGATTCTAACATTATATCAAAACACCATAATCTAACATGACATATAGTAGGTCAGCTTTGTACTAACCAACACCTCCATGTGTTACATAATCTATAGCACCTCATCCTTCACTTAGTGAACCATCTATCCACAGGTGATAAATGTACATTTTGAGGCCCTAGGGAATGGGAGAGATCTTCCATTCCAATTGGCCAGTGTCACCTGTTTCAACTACAGTTTATATATGTGAAATGTGTTTTCCTGTCTTGTGGCACTTGATTGTGTTTTCTACTTTAAAAAGTAAAATGATGATACAAAATCAGCATGGAATCTAACACCAACTTTCTAATGAATTCAGTAAACAAAAACTTCAAATGTTTTCAAAAGATAAAAATAAATTAAACTATAATAAGAAAACTGAAATACTTCTTTGAATATTATCTGTACAAGAAGAGGAAGCAAACATAGGATTGGAAAAAGTAAACAGTGAGAATCAAGGAGCATAGATTTTGTGACTCTTGCATTAAATCCCATGAAATACACTGTGACTTATACAGAATAGTTGCCCTCTGAGAAAAAATGTGGTCTGGAAATTTCAAGTCAAAATTGTCACGTTGAATAAGAGCTACTTCTGTTAAGTATTATATTATTTGTGGACTTGTAGAAAAGTAATGCTGCTCAACCACATTTCAATCCTAACAACCTTAATCCTAAAACTAATCATAACCCTAACAACATTAACCCTAACCATAACCTTAACAACCCTCACCCTAACCCTAAAATGATTTATTTTTCCTTTCAAACTTTATTCCTTAACTCCTTGCGGCTTACTTTAAGATCCTAATGAGCTACTCAGACAGCAAAGCTGTGGTGCACATCCTCAGATACAATAGTTAGGAAACCACATAAAATAATCCTGGTAAGAGAGAAAATGACCAAACACAGTAATACCCTATAGCTACAAAAGCAGTAGTTTTAATTATAATATAATTACACATCCACACACACACACACACACACACACACCCATGCACACACATGCACATATTGTTCCTCTTTGTAAGGGCACTCCTGACGCTTCAATATCCTCTATATTGAGAATGAGGGAGACAGTAAAAGAGAGTAGCTGCCTTATCTGTGTGCAGGTCCTGACCAATCAAGTTCCTCATGTACCCAGGCCTTGCTCTGTGTTGCATGATAATCCAATGCCTATGAGCCACTCAGTTTAATCAGAATGGCTCCTATAGTTCAAACGTTTACATTAGGTTTATGTAATAACAATATAAATGTTTCCCAGACCATGTAATAAAAATAAATCAATTTAATTAAAATTAAA